AAAAACATCTTACAGAATACAAGACTAGCAGAGATGGAAGGGGCCTTGGAGGTCATCTAGCTCAACCCCCTGCTCAGGCAGGAGACCCTAGACCGTTTCAGACAAAGGGCTGTCCAGTCTCTTCTTAAAGCTAATATTTAACAAAATATTGGCAGCCAACATGGAGAAAATGTCATCGCCAGCCGTGATTTTAATCGTATAGCACCATTCCTGCTCTCAGCTGGCCTGGGGGCCAAATCCTGTGTCCATCTCGGCTGTTTGTCCAGAAAAGGGACCCCCCCCCCAGTGATTGCTTAGGAGCCCCACTGTGTGTCAAAGTCTTGAAAAGATGCCTCTGAATTACGCTCAGGACAATCACTTAGATATGAGCCAGCTGTGTGCTGCAGCTGCCAAAAAAGCCAACACAGTCCTAGGCTGCATTAACAGAGGGATAGACTCAAGATCACGTGAAGTATTAATACCACTTTGCAATGCCTTGGTAAGGCCACACTTGGAATACTGCATCCAGTTTTGGTCACCAGGATGTAAAAAAGATGCTGAGACTCTAGAAAGAGTGCAGAGAAGAGCAACAAAGATGATTAGGGGACTGGAGGCTAAAGCATACAAGGAAAGGCTGCTGGAATTGGGTAGGTCTAGTTTAACGAAGAGAAGGACGAGGGGGGACATGATAGCAGCCTTCCAGTATCTCAGGGGCTGCCCCAAAGAAGAAGGAGTCAAGCTATTCTCCGAAGCGCCTAAAGGCAGGACAAGAAGCAATGGATGGAAACTCATCAAGGAGAGAATCAAACTAGAACTAAGGAGAAACTTCCTGACAGTTTAGAACAATTAACCAGTGGAACAACCTGCCTCTAGAAGCAGTGAATGCGCCAACACCGGAAGTTTTTAAGAAGAGACTGGACAGCCATTTGTCTGAAACGGTATAGGGTCTCCTGCCTGAGCAGGGGGTTGGACTAGATGACCTCCAAGGTCCCTTCCAACTTTATCATCATCATCATCATCATCATCATCATCATCATCATCATCATCATCATTATTATTATTATTATTATTATTATTATTATTATTATTATTATTATAAGTTTAGCATGGGTGATTAGCTCAGCTTTGCCCGGCATCAGGCATTGTAGTAGGTGAAGGCTGCTATCAAACTGTGGGATTACGACAATTTTTATTTCTTCCTGCTCTCCGTTCGGGTTCATCAGCCAGGCCTGGCGGCGTGGAAGACGCGACTTGACATCCCTGATGGGCAGCATAAAAAGAGGAAAAAGAATGAGGACAGGAGCTTCCCTCCTTTGGGAAGTTTAGACTTGGCCAAAGTTAGGGCAACAAGACAGCCTGCGATGCCCCCCCTCTCCTGCAGACATCCCCCACCCACCCCCAAAAAAATTTGAGCCCGGCTACTAGAGGCCTCCGCCAGTTGATACCAAATTGTCATTTTTGTTTTAATGTCAAGATAGGGGGAAAACCTTAAATACTTCGCTCCACCAGAGAATTGCAGGTTTTGCTCCAAAACACTTATATCACCTGTTGGCCTTTTTTTTTTTTTTCCCCCTGCCATCAATCTAACCCTTGATTCGATGCACAGAACTAAAGCACGGGTAATCCTGGCCTACCAAAAAGCCTGTGTCCGTAATGACTCGTCTTACGAATTATTATTATTATTATTATTTTTACTTCCTGCAAAAAAAGTCTTTCCAAGGAGAAAAAGCCAAACGCTATTGGAGACCAGGACTAGAGTCCAGTAGTCTGTTAGCTGACAAAGTCCATCGCCTGTTTTTTTGGCATCCTTGCTTCTTGATCTTCTTCCAAAGTAAACCGTGATAGCAGTAAAAAAACCTTTTCCCCTTAAAGTCTTCGGCGGGACATTCCTACGCCACGGCTGGAAAGGTGGAAATTTTCTGCCCAGCTGTTTGATAAAAGCCCTTTTCTCCCAGGTCACCTTCTGAGGTCCCAAGTTAATCTCTCAGCTGGGAGATATGGAAGTTCTGGTTAAAAAAAAAAAAGGTCAGCATTAAGGATCAAAAACTTGAAGGACAAAAAGAAAGAAAGAAGAGGGTGCCAAAATTTCTCACGGAAGGAGCCAAAATATGACACTGTTTTCGCTGCTAAAGCATGGAGGGCTGGCCCTGCCTTTGACCTGGGTCTCAGTGTCTTTGTGAGCTTTTAGGAAGAAGACCCTGCCAATCTCTGTATTATCAGATCTTCTTCTCTTTTTTTTTAATAAGGATTTTATTAGTTTTTCTCTTACATACATGTGTTCATTTTTCAACCAGCGTGCTGTCTGGATTCAAAAACGCTAATACATAATCAATTCCAAATCCTTGGTTCTTTCCTCTAGCCATTTGTAGAATAACTCCCAGATTTGGGTAGTATTCTGTTTCTTCTTTATCTTTCAGTCTCATAGTTAATCTGTCCATCTCTGCGCATTCCACTATTTTTTTAATTACTTCTTCCTCCGGTGGTACTGCTTCATTTTTCCAATATTGCGCGAAGACTATTCTCGCTGCCGTTACGACGTGTAAAGCCAAACGTAAACTTTGTTTATGATTAGTCTTTTCTGGCATTATACCTGGTAGAAAAAGTTCAGGTTTAAATTCCACACGTTTCCCCCAACATTTTTTTCTAACCAAAACATGTATCTTTTCCCAATTGAGCCTTTGCTCTACCGCATGTCCACCAAAGATGATAATACGTGCCTAAGTTACGTTTACGTTTCCAACATCTACCTGACATATTTTTTTAAACATTTTTGCTAATCTTGCTGGTGACAAGTGCCACCTATAAAACATTTTATAGAAATTTTTTTTATACAAAGTTGACGTTGGAAGAAGACCCTGCCGATCTCTGTATTCCCAGATCTTCACGTTGGGCTGCGGGGAGGGTGTGTGTGTGTATTTGCAGAGGGGCCACAAAAACACGGGGAGGGGGGTTGGAAAAGGTGGGAGATCCAAGAATGTCCTGGCCAAAAGTCGTCCTTGGTGGACCCTCCCCGGAGACAGGTTTGGCTGTTGTTCCTCCTCGTGGCTGTTGTTGTCCGTGTAATTCGTGTTCCCTTTGGCTTCCCCTGCAGGGCGAAGGAAGAACGGTAGGAAAGCACAACTCTTTTAAATTAAAAGGAGAGCCTGGCAAGAGCTCCAGAGAAGCCCATCTGGCCCCAAGGGGAGACCGCTTTGCTCAGACCGAAAAAAACACACACCGGCCATTGAATTTGGAAGAAGCAGAGGGTATGTCACTTTTTAAATATATGCAGTAGCGTGTGTCTTGTCAACCGTGGTGACCAAGTGGCGTGTATTCATATCCGTTCCGGCCGTGTGTATTGGCGGTGCAATAAACTTCAACCACTCCGAAGTTACCTTCCTGTGTTGGTGAGAGTGTTTGGGACGAACGCGAAGGGCTTCCCAGCTCAGCCCTTGACTGGCCCTGTGGCTCTTGCGCTCACTCCCTCCGTCTCTAAGTGAGACCGGCCCTGTGCTGGCTGGGGTTGGGGAGAAGAGAAGGAGGGGGCACTTCTGTGATCCACTCCCGGGGTACCCCCCGGTGTCATTCTCAATTTTTCCAAGGTTCCCCAACTCTTCTCTGGAAAGCAGCCCTTAATGATGGCTTTTCTTATCAACCATACTTGGGTCTAGGACAGGGGTCTTCAAACGTGGCCCTTTGATGACTTGTGGACTTCAACTCCCAGAATTCCTCAGTCAGCCATTTTGATGAAACTGCAGGCTTGGATCCACACTAGGGGGGTCTTCAAACTTGGCCCTTTGATGACTGGTGGACTTCAACTCCCAGAATTCCTCAGTCAGCCATTTTGATGAAACGGCAGGCTTGGATCCACACTAGGGGGGTCTTCAAATGTGGCCCTTTGATGACTGGTGGACTTCAACTCCCAGAATTCCTCAGCCAGGCACGCGGAGTTGAAGTCCACAAGTCATCAAAGGGCCAAGTTTGAAGAATCCTGCTCTACTCAGTCTAGAATACTCCTAGATCAGGGGTCTTCAAGCTTGGCCCTTTGATGACTTGTGGACGCTGGCTGAGGAATTCTGGGAGTTGAAGTCCACAAGTCATCAAAGGGCCAAGTTTGAAGACCCCTGGTCTAGGACAACTCGCCATTGCCAATTCACCGTGGCCAACTCACTGCAGCCAACTCGACCGCGGGGCAAGAGTTAACGCTATTATTGAAGAAAGGGTGGCGTCGAATCTGTGAAGGAAAAGGTGCCAAAGGAGGGGCAAAACTTAAAATGATTTTTAAATTATTTTAAATCATCGAATTGTTGAATTGTCCCGTGGCGAGGTGGCCGTAACAGTAGCCCCGCGTCCGTGTCTTTCCTTTTGCATATTTTTTATTCTGTTCAATTGATTCGAATTAGAATTGGTTAGATTAAAAAGAAAAGTGGGACCCGCTTCCCGCCCTGCTTTTCAGCTCCTCCCATTTAGGCAAACTGATTCCTTGATTGCCTTCCATTGCCCACCCCCAAATATCCCCCTTCCCCCCATCTAACGTTCTTTATTGGGGAGGGTCCCTCAGGAATACTGGGTGAGCGTGTTGATGTCCACAAGCCTTTTAATGATGACTCATAGGCCAACCTTTTGCACGTCTTGCTCGCTGCGTGGTTTCCTGTTTTTGAAGGCCTCTTTTGCTACACAAACACCCTCACACCCCCATTTTCAAACCAGCATTCCCCCCATAACATTCCTATGACCGAACCACCTTGGAAGAAACCAGGCTGAGAGATCGCGAAAGGATCTTGCTTAGTGTCTGGATTTGAAGCAGGTTCCCGTCCCTACAGACAGCCATGTTGGCACCAGCTGTCTCCTTGGAAGAGTCAGGATCAGACTGGGGGGGGTCAGAGATACCCAGCTGGCACCCCTGGAATGGGGTGGGGGCTGAGTGGCTCGGTCAGCCTGTCCTTTTGGGTGCAATTTGGGGCTGGGGACCAAAGACCAAAAGGATGATGGTGTCATCTCTGAAGCAAGTCCAGGCTGGTGTGAAGAATCGTGTCCGATGGGACACTTGACGGTTATTAAGGGGGGTGACGTTGCCGCGTTGCTTGCGGCCCTTACAAGGCGTGAATCAACAGAGAGAAAGACTAGTATCTTTCCACACAAGGTGCTTGAGCACTTGGGTAGGCATTGCCGTGGCATTGTAACAACTCTCGACAGCGTAAAGTGAGCCACGTCCTCAGAATCATAGAATCCTGGCGCTAGAAGGGACCTTGCAGACTTTCTAGTCCAGGGGCGTCAAACTGCCGACCCGCGGGCCGGACGCATCATCCGGAAGCCGCACCCACCCCATTGCCAGCAATGGCAAAACCGGCCCGATACGTCACGTGACGTCGCGAGTTTGACATGTCTGTTCTAGTCCAACCTCTGCCCAAGTCAGGAGTCCTCATAGCATCCTGGACGAATGGCCTTCCAATCTCTTCTTGAAAACTCAATTGGTGCAATTTAGTCCCTGTTCACTCTGTGCTTCAGAAGACTCTTGATTATAGGAGGGGACCTTGGAGGTCCTCTAAACCAACCTGCTACCCAAGGCAAGAATCCTCATACTATCCTGGATGAATTGCTGCCCAATCTTTTCTTGGGAGACCTCCAGTGATGGGACACCCTCCATTCCAGGAGGCAGGCTGTTCCATTGCTTAATTGCTCTCTCTGTCAGGTGGGTTCCAGACAGGATCTCTGCTTGAGGAGCTTCCACCCATTAGCGGCGAGGGCATCTGTGCCCCCCAAAAGCAAAGCCATGGCTGCTTTGGATAAAAGGGGAACTGCCCAAAGCTCTCAATTGTCGCCTGGCTAACCTTTGGCTGATGCCCAGATGATGACTTTGGTCAACCAGGTACTAAAGATGGTAGAGAACATCTTCCAATTCCTTGTCCTACACTTAACCTTCCCAAACCACCTTCAGCAGGTAGGTGGAGCTTTCCTACATCCTTCCCAGAGGGAAGAACCGTTGGGAAAAGGTCGCTCAGCTGAGACACCTCTTCAAGCTTCTCCTTGATCAACAATTGGTGGGGCTGGAAATTAAGAGAGGGTACCCAACACTTTGCTGGCCTACAATACAATACAATAACAGAGTTGGAAGGGACCTTGGAGGTCTTCTAGTCTAACTCCTCTATACCAGGGGTGTCAAACTGCCGGCCCGCAGGCCAGATGCGTCATGGCGAAACAGCGCACACCCCGTTGCCGGTACGTCGCCAGATGTCACATGACATTGTGAGTTTGACACCCCTGCCCTATACCATTTCAGACAAATGGTTGTCCACTCTCTTCTTAAAAAGTTCCAGTGTTGGAGCATTCACAACTTCTGGAGGCAGGTTGTTCCACAGATGGAACAGATCAAGTGCCGGGAAGCATCACTTGTATAGAATCCCCAAACGCAAGGGTTGAAGGGAACCCTGGAGATCCCGTAGTCCAGGATCCTGTCTGGGGCAGGAATCTGTTCCAGCAGCTTCCTCAGTGATGGCCAGCCAATGAAGGAGAGTCCAAAGCAATCAACTCCATTGCTGGACAGGGTTTTTTTTTTATTACTATGGTTAGGAAAATCCTCCTTTGGTGGCTAGCCTGAATTACGAACTCCTGTCAAAGCAGACTTCCTTCTGACTTGTCTTCTCCCAAGTCGGCACTAGCCGCCCCCGCCAGCTCATCAGCCCTCAGCCTAAACCAGTGGTTCTCAACCTGTGGGTCGGGACCCCATTTGGGGTCGATCGACCATTTCATGGGGGTCGCCAAGCAAGGCTGTCTGCCATTTTTCCCCCTTTTCCGGCGGGTGCCTTACCTCCCTTGGGCTGGGCCAGCTGGTGGTCGGCCTGCTCCGTCTCTGCCGCTTGCCAGCTACGCCTCGGCCGGCGCAGGGGACGGAACAACGGGCAGGGAAAGTCCTTGACTTACGACCGGTTGAGTAGTCCTCGACTTACGACTGGTTTAGTCCTCGACTTACGACTGCTTTAGTCCTCGACTTACGACCGGTTTAGTCCTCGACTTACGACCGGTTGGGGTCGCGGCATTAAAAAGGTTGAGAACCACTGGCCTAAACTGTCCTCGCTGCGCAGGGAGCCGGTTTAGTCTAGCGGTGAAGGCGCCGAGCTACAAACTGGGAGACCAGGGATTCTAGTCCCACCTTGGACACAAAGCCAGCTGGCCTCCTGTCTAAACAGGGACTAGGATCAGAGAGGCAGGTCTGAGGTCCCAGCCTGATGCCACATCTGTATCAGAGGCAATTTTGGACAGCTGGTCCCAGATATCCGAAGAAGATCCCTCCCTCGTTGGCTGGCCAGCCAGCCGGCCGGCTTGGCAGGTAGGTATTTTTCCCGCCTTTTCAATACTTTGCAAAGGGAAAATTCGAGTTTCACGACTTATCCTGGGCTGCTTCTCTCTGCTTACGGCAACGCGGATCTATTGCACAGATCCAGACTGAGGCCAGTTAAACTCTAGTCTAAATTGTGGACTTCTGTTGTTGCTGTTTTGCCACCGATCCTGGATGCGATGATAGGTCATCCTTGACTTACAACAGTTCATTTAGTGACCACTAAATGGTCAGGGGATCAAAATTCAGATGCTTGGCCACTGACTCATATTTATGGCAGTCGCAGTGTCCCCTTTTGCGACCTTCCGACAAGCAAAATCAAGGGGGAGGCCAGATTCACTTAACAACTGGGTTAGTAACTTAACAACTTAACAACTGTGGCAAGTGAGATCGTAAAACGGGCAGAACTCGTTTAACAAATGTCTCACTGAGCGACAGAAATTTCGAGCTGAATTGCGATTAAGTCGAGGACTACCTGTATAGACTGGGCATCCTGAACCAAGCTACTGTTCAATTAGCCTGTCTGGATGCTCTTTCGGTCACTCCCTGTACTAACTTAACAACTTCAGCAATTCACTTAACAACCTCGGCAAGAGAGGTCGTAAAGCAGGGCAAGGGTCACTTAACAATTGTTTTGCTTAGCCACCTAAACGTTGGCCACCATTGTGGTCGTAAGCCGAGGTCTACCTCTATTTAACATCCCTGTTCTTGATTCGATTTTGCGGCTCTCCTCCCAGAGCCCTCGTGGGTTGTCCTTGGGCTGGTTTGCATCCAGGATGCACGTGGCCGAGAAAGCGTGGCCTGTTTGTTGATCATGTCGAGCTGTCCCTGTTGCATGCCGGCCTGAAGAAGCCGCCACTTTGCTGAATGAGCTTTGATCACAGCCGCGAAAGGAAACACACCCGGTGCTTGCGCAGTAGGAAAAGCCTGGAGCCTAGAGAGTGTGTAGTTTTCTTATTTGTGGTTGGTGGGCAATTGGAGTACAGTTACTGGGGTCCTTTTTCTGGACAAATAGCCGAGATGGACACCGGATGTGACCCCTTTGCGAGTTGAAAGCAGGAATCGTGCTCTGCAACTAAAATCATGACACTTTCTCATGTTTGCTGCCAAAATTTTGTTCAATTGCTCCTGAACGCAAGTGGTCCTTGACTTACACCAGTTCATTTAGTGACCGTTCGAAGTTACAACGGCGCTGGAAAAAGTGAGTTAGGACCCTTTTTCGCACTGATGATCCTTGCAGCCTCCCCCGGTAGTCATTCAGACGCTCGGCAACTGGCTCGCATTTATGATGGTTGCAAGGGTCCCCGGGGGTCCTGTGATCCCCTTTTTGCGATTTCCCGACAAGCATCATCAACGGGAAAGCCAGTTAACAAAATAAGCTATAAACCTAACAATTGCAGGGATTCGCTTAACAACCGGGAAAGGTCATAAAATGGGGCAAAACCAATCTAACTCAGTGACAGAAATTGGGGGCTCCATTGTCGTAAGTCGAGGACCACCTGTAAATCTGTTGCTTTGGCCTTTTGGGGCGGGGGGCTCCGTTTGAGATAGCCGTGCAGTCTGAGGCTTGCAGAAAGCTTTAATTGCTGCTTCCCTAGTTTACCCCGGGTATGATTTTATATATGTCAGAGCATGCACAGTTTTATTGCGCTGAGATAACCCAGGAGTAAACACAATAAACAGAGGTCTATATTAAATGGTGGCTTATATTACACTATCTACAATATCATACACCAGGAACAATATACATATACGTGCTAATACAGCAGCAACACACAGCAGTTACAGCAAGAAACAGAAGAGAGAGAACACAGCAGCAGAGCCTTCCCTTTTATACGAAGGCTCTTCAAGGGACACAGACCCTGCTGAGTCATTCCCATCATTACATCATATATTTTACATTACATAAGCTGGTTAGCTGTTAAATTATTACCTTGACAATACACACACACACACACACCACCCATTACACCCATTTCCACTCATGAAAGAACGAAATATTTTTCCTGTTTCTTGTGCCAGCCCTTCTCAAGGGGGCTTTCCTTTTTTTTTTAATAGTAACAAGCAACAGCAGCAGGACCTCTGTAAAAGTGAGGTTAGCAAATCGTTTCTAGGGCTTTTGGGGTGGTGGCTTAATTAAAAATAAAATGGAAACAACAACAAAAAAAGAAATTTTATAAAATGCACCACACACACAAACACACACACAGATCCACCTAAATTTACTGCAGCTAATTAAACTGGAGAAAGCGGTCAGATCAAGTGTCCTTTGCTGTTCTTTTCAAAGTGTTTCAGATGCTGCCAGAATCTGGAGTGGCTTGAGTTAATGCAAGCTAAGATGGAAGGAAAATGAAGGATGAATGGAGGTTTGCCTGTGTCCTGAAGGTCACCTGAGTGGTGCAAATAGGTGTGGAGCCTTCTTGGAACTGCTGAAAGGACTGTGATCTACAACACAAATCCTTTCAGCAGTTCCAAGAAGGCTCCACACCCATTTGCACCACTCAGGTAACAATGAGGACACAGATAAACCTCCACAGGGGCCTCAACAACTGCCTAAAAAAAAGGCAAAAGACCAGCTGTCTGCAAGGAGTATAAATCCTTCCATTCCCTCCACCATCCAGTCAGAACTGAAGAAGCTTCTTGGACGAGAAGCGAAACGTCTTCAAAGAAAAACAAGAAAGTCCAGTGGCCTCCTGAAAAAGCACCTTTGGGATAACTATGACCTGGATGACGGAGAATCTCCATAGACACAATGTAGAAAGTTTACAATATTTATGTAGCCGAATATTAGCACAGAATATCACTTGTGGATGATCTTCAGGAATAATTCTTCATGGCTATTTAAAATGCTGTTGATTGAAAAAGAATTCTGTGTCACAAGAGTCACTGGATAATTAATCAAGTTCTAACCCTAAATTATCTCCCTAGACTCTTTTTAATCTTTATATGGGAGTCTATTGTGTTTAAATATAAAAGTTTGTCATGTAGCACTAATCAAGTCCCGTTGCTTTTACGTGCTGTTAAATGGGTAGCATTTTTTCAAAACCAGTGTTTACAAAAAAAGGCAGTTGAACTTGGTTTGTTAAAATCAAGTTGGGATTTGCAATGATCAAATTGCTAAATTTATGCAGCTGTAAGAGGGTTTCCCGTCATAATTCAGCTCTAATTCCATAAATCCTTTTGCTTTTGTTCAGTTGCGTATTTTATTTAGCGGCATGATATTTGGCCTAAGTTGTTAATTCGATTTTCTATAATTTGTTGGAATGAATGAAACCTTTTTTTCCCAGTGGGAAATGCAGCCACCTGAAAAACAGGTGCACGAAAGTATAACCGAGTCACGCACGCAGGTTTAAAGATGTTCCGAAAAGTATATGATTTATTTAGTTACAGTTGTATTCATTTCTACTTATTTTATTACAGGGGAATTCTACCAAGCATCTCCCCCTCATTAAAGTTTACTCAAAGAGTCTTGATATATATGAAATTTATGAAATCACAAGCTTCAGCTCCAAATTCTCACCAAACATTTGGAGCCCTGGTGCTGCTTTTTTTTGCCAGTTTTTTTTTTTAATAAACCTGTTGTGGCTTTGTCTTGTGAGCCCCTCTTATCGGAGGAAGAAGGCTCCGAACATGAAGGAGAGGAGATGGCCAGGCCTCCCTCTCCAGGACCCTCCTTTTTGGCAATGCCTCAGGTGTCTCCCGACGGAGAAGAGATTGACCAGGAGCCGGGTGGTTCTGAGACTGGCCAGGAGCCAGGTGTGTCGGATAATGAGGAAGAGAAGTTGTGGCTGGATCCACGCCAGCATAGGAGCGACAAGTGTGCGCAGCAGAAAAGGAGACGTGCCAGAGATTAAGCTGAGTCACTGGACCACACACCCCACAGGCTATAAAAGGGTGGTGGTGGCCATTTGGACCTCTGTGACGGACAAAAGCTGAATCTCTGGCGAAGTAGTTTGCTGTGGCTTTAAACTGTGTGTATTGTTTTTGTTTCTGTGTGTTTGGAGTAATAAGGTCTTGGCAGGCAGCTACGGAGCTGCTGCCAAGTTTCTTATCTGTGCAGTGGTGTCTGGAGAAGTCTTTAAATCCTCAGCTGGCTGTTTGGGTGTGTGGGTCGGACGGGGACAGAACAAAACCCTTCCGGAGGACGGAGAAATAGAGTAGCAAAGCGCTGAATGAAAAACAGCGGCTGGGTGGTGGCGGGATCTTGCAATGCTGACTCTCAACTCTTCTGGGTTTCTTGCATTAGAGTTTTTCGAACTCATCTCCAAAGTCCAGAGTAACCGAGCGGATGACCAGCGAGGGTTGCTGAGAAAAGAAGATCTGGTTTTGCCCGACTTCCTGCATCTGCCCTCCTGCCAGGTGGGCGTTTCCACACCTGCCCCCAAGGAAGCGACAGGCTCAAGAACGCCCCATCCCGACAGCCAGGAGAAACGCAGCGAGGACAGCAGCTGCCCGCCACACCCAAGCGACCCGGCGGACGGACAACGAGGTCCGGAGAAGACTCTGAGGATGCCCGTGGCCCTCAGCCAGGCGACCGGCGATGGCACCACCGCTGGGACTGCTCCTCGCCCTCCGAATCTGCTTTTGCAGGGCAGCCCGAGGCGGAAAGAAGAGGTGGAGACGGTGGAGGAGGAGAACGTGGTCCTGGCAGACCTGACCCTGGTGGCCGAGGGGGACATTGGCAGCCCCAACAGCAGGTTGATCCCCTCCAAGAGGGTCAGTCCCACCGAGGCAAAAACCACCTGTGAGAAATTCAGGCCAGGTATTCCCAGATGTTGAGTGTCTTGGAAATCATTCCCTGTAATGCTTTTGTTGTGAGCTTGTTATATCTGCTTACAGAATAACAGAACAACAGAGTTGGAAGGGACCTTGGAGGTCTTCTAGTCCAACCCCCTGCTTAGGCAGGAAACCCCGTACCATTTCAGACAAATGGTTGTCCAGTCTCTTCTTTAAAAACTTTCAGTGTTGGGAGGATTCACAAGTTGTTCCACTGTTTAGCTGTTCTCACCATCAGGAAGTTTCTCCTTAGTTCTAGGTTGCTTCTCTCCTTAGTTAGTTTCCATCTGTTGCTTCTTGACCTGCCTTGAGCGGCTTTGGAGAATAGCTTGACTCCCTCTTCTTTGGGGCAGCCCCTCAAATACTAGATCACTGCTGTCATGTCACCCCTGGTCCTCCTCTTCACTAGACTAGACATACCCAGTTCCAGCAACCGTTCCTTATATGTTTTAGTACACACACCCCCCGGGACATTGCGACCGTCATAAATATGAACCGGTTGCCAATCTTCTGAATCTTGATCACGTGACCCTGGGGAAGCTGCAACGGTCGTAAGTGTGAAAAACGGTGATAACTCACTTTTTTCCAGTGCCGTTGTAATTCTGAACGGTCGTTAAGCAGGTTAAGCGCGATAATTTTCCCGACCTGCTGCCTTTCGCAGAGGTTGCTTATAGCAACTCTGTGCACACCAATAAAAGTATAAAAGATAACTCTAAGGAAACAGGGCAAACGAAATAGTGTCACAACTTAAGACAAGGGATCGTGCGCTAGCGTGGTCCGAATGTGGAGCGCTCTCATCCTCTCCCTTTCCTTTTCCCTCCTGTGTTCTAGGCGTCCTCCATAGGCCGAGAAGCCACGTCCGAGGAAGCGACGGAAGCCTTTACGCACCAACCTCCCCAAACTCTTGTTGTGACTTTAACCCCGCTGGGGTCGGAAAGGAAACTGGTAGACCCGAACTCCCGATCCGTTGCGTCATAGATGTGGACAGTGTTACAGCATCGCATGGCCCGGAGTGGCCTTGTTCTGAGCCGGAGAGCGATGTCCCCAGGGCTGGTCAGCCGAAGAGGCCAGCAAGAACTGATAGGACGCCCCGCCTTCCCACAGTCCCCGCTGCCGGGAGCGAGAAAAATAAGGAGAACGAGAGTCCTTCTAAGGCGACTTTTGTTTGAAAGTCTGGAGACACAACGCCGGGAGATTGGGCGAGCTGCGGCGTTCGTGCAGTGAACACTCCGGGCCGAACCGTCATCACTGGGCAGAAGGGAATCTTGTGACACCCGTGTGAGAACACGGGAAAGACGCGCTCATCGCAAACCTTATCACAACTTCTCGTCCCCATTGTAGGGTCACCAACGGTAGACACACTCTTCGACCCACATCGCTTCCACTCTTCTCTGCAGAGGATGTGAAGGAAGCGTTTCCACCCATCCTTGCAATGTCTACAAAGATTCTCCGTCCTCCAGGTCACGATGGTCCTGAAGGTGCTTTTTTTCAGGAGGCAACTGGACTTTCTTGTTTTTCTTTGAAGACATTTCGCTTCTCATCCCAGAAGCTTCTTCAGCTCTGACTGGATGGTGGGGAAGGGAAGGATTTATACTCCTTGCAGACAGCTGGTCTTTTGCCTTCTTTTAGAGGGTCATTGAGGCCACTTGGAGGTTTCTCTGCATCCTCAGGGTCCCCTGAGTGGTGCAAATGGGTATGGAGCCTTCTTGGCTGCAGGATTTTTTCTGCCCTGTGCAGTGGTGGGATTCAGCTGGTTTGCACCACTTCGGCAGAACCGGTAGCTAATTTTTTGTGGCCCAGGCCCAGAATGGACTTCCGGAAGCGGCATCCACACAGAGAACCGGTTGTTCCCCTATTTGAATCCCACCACTGGCCCTAAGTCCCTTCACTGTATGAACGGATTTCCAGAAGACATTGCTACAGACTACAGGAGCCATTTGCACTTCAGTTTGAGATGCAGACAACACGGACCCATCCCCAACCGCCTGCGCCCATCTTCAACCGTGAAGGGACCCAGGGCAGAAAAAATATCCTGCAGCCAAGAAGGCTCCACACCCATTTGCACCATTCAGGTGACCCTGAGGACACAGGTAAGCCTCAACGACTCCCTAAAAGGATGCAAATGGCCAGCTGTCTATAAGGAGTATAAATCCTCCCGTTCCTCCATCATCCAGTCAGAGCTGAAGAAGCTTCTGGGATGAGAAGCGAAAGGTCTTCAAAGAAAAGCAAGAAAGTCCAGTTGAAAAAGCACCACTGAGGTCACAGACAAACCTCCAAGTGGCCTCAACGACTCCCTAAAGGATGCAAATGACCAGCTGTCTATAAGGAGTATAAATCCTTCCATTCCCCACCATCCAGTCAGAGCTGAAGAAGCTTCTGGGATGAGAAGCGAAATGTCTTCAAAGAGAAACAAGAAAGTCCAGTTGCCTCCTGAAAAAAAGCACCTTTGGGCCATCCTCGCAATATCCACCTTGTTGAGCAGAAGCAACCTCAGCCCAAACTGATGTCTCGAAACTCACCCTAGTCCACACTGAGTATTCCCGTGATATTCCAATCCCGGGTTTATCGTAGCAACCCCCTCAGAAATTAGGCCTTTTCTTACCAGTGTGAAGATTCCCACTGCTGCCTCAGATTTTTTCCTTTTTTTAAAAAATATATATATATATTCTAATGGAACACCCTGCCTGAAAGAACATCGGTGTATTTTTCTAGCCCTTTCCCCTGAACGTTTATGAATTATATGTGACGTTTGTCGGCCGCGGACGTGGGTCAAAATGAACAAGAACTGCACCAGCGCAAGGCGCTCCTGGTTGTCACATCTGCTCAAACTTGTGGTGATCAGGAGGACATAATCTCTCAGTTGTTTTTTTTTGAAGGCATCTTCTGTCCCCTGTTTCATTTTAGGCCGGACGGCATCGTCCCGTTTGAATCCTGTTCCACTTGAGATCAGTCGTTTCCCAGTTTCAACGTGGCTTGTACCCGGTCAGAAAAAGGCCAAGTGTGTGTCTGAGCGTTTCTCCCTGGGCCTACGACAACTCACCACGGCCAGCTCGCCGTGACCAGCTCACTGGTGCCAACTTGCCACGGACAACTCACCATGGGACAAGACTTCCCACGACTATCGAAGAAACGAGGGAATAGAATCCTTGTAGAAAGGATGCCACAGGAAGGGCAAAATGAAATTGGAAGGACAAAAATTCAAATTATTATTATTATTATTATTTTAAATTAAATAATTAAATTGAATTGTTGAATTATCCCGCGGCAAGTTGGCTTGGCAAGTTGTCTACAGCGAGTTGTCCCCCTTCCGTTTATCGTGACTTGGTCACGACAAATCGGCCGTAGCGAGTTGGCCGTGGCAATTGGCCCCATTCCATTTCTACCCCAAGGAACAGCCGGATGACAACACTACGATCGTTGGGGAAATCAATTTGTTTTTTGGGGAAAAAGTGAGTGCCTGGTTTGATGGGTGGGGGGGAGAGCAGAGGCTCCCTTCCCCTCCCGCCCAGCGGTCTGATAGCAGCCCCCCAATATTTGAGGGGCTGGGACAGAGAAGAGGGGGGGTCAACCTTTTCTCCAAAGCACCTGAAGGCAGGAGAAGAAGCAACGGACAGAAGCTTGTTAAAAGAGAGAGCCAACCTAGAATTAAGGCGGAATTTCCTGACGGGGAGAACAATTAACCAGTGGAACTGCTTGCTTCCAGAAGTTGTGGGTGCCCCATCACTGGAGGCTTTCAAGAAGAGACTGGACTGCCATTGGTCTGGAATGGTATGGGATCTCCTGCCTGAGCAGGGGGTTGGACTAGAAGACCTCCAGGGTCCCTTCCAACTTTATCATTCTGTTCTGAATACACCAGTAACCTCACAGTTAGGAGGAACTGTGATCAAGATGGGCTTGGGTCCTAATTATATCCCTCCACTATGCTTAATGGGAGGGCTGGGAGATCATTCACAGCCACTCACGCTAGTCACATTCACAGCAAAGCGGAAGCTTCTGGCATCATGTGCTGGGCCACGCCACTCCCCCGGAGTGGAGTTCGAATTCTGAAATTCAGTAGGAAGAAGAGGCTACATATCGTTCTTGAGCGTTTTGGTTTAATTTGTCAGTTGTGTGTAAATCATGGTTTAATTTAAGAGTAAACTACCTTTTAAAATTACGCCGCGTCTTGGGGCTGCATTACTCCACGGGGATCCCGGGAGATGAAAAACCACCTTATCTCAGGGTGTCATTCTTCAGAAGCCAAGGAAAAGGGGAAGCATTCATTTAACCGTGATTTGGATACTGCCCAAATCTCGTTTTTCCCCAAATCCTGCACGCCTTCAGTTCAATTCCAACGCAGCCGCCGTCGTATCCATGATTACCAGGATCTGATGCCCTATATTTTGACAGCTTTGTTGTTTGCAATTAGGGTCAAATTGGAGGAATTATTTTCTATCCCCCCCAAAAATAATAATAATAAAAACAGCCCTAAAAGTGAGTCCTTTCATCCGTAGCTCCGTTTCCTGAGCCCTGCCAGGCTTAGGGCATCGCAAGATGCCTGCCGAATTTGGCTCTTCAGGATGGATTTTCCTGCTCAGGTTTCTCTGGCGGATGCGAGGATCCCCCCCACCCATCTCTGGAGATCCCTTCTCGTGGCTGATCTGGAGGAGAGAGGCTGTCAGATCCGCCCCGACTTGGTCCTTTAGTCCAGAACAGTGGTTCTCAACCTGTGGGTCAGGACCCCATTTGGGGTCGATTGACCATTTCACGGGGGTCGCCAAGCAAGGCTGTCCGCCATTTTTTTGTCCGCCATTTTTTTTGTCCGCCATTTTTTTCCCCCTTTTCCGGCGGGTGCCTTACCTCCCTTGGGCTGGGCCAGCTGGTGGTCGGCCTGCTCCGTCTCTGCCGCTTGCCAGCTACGCCTCGGCCGGCGCAGGGGGCGGAACCACGCATGCGCGGCGCTCCCGGGGAGGGAAAGTCCTCGACTTACGACCGGTTGGGTAGTCCTCGACTTACGACCGGTTTAGTCCTCGACTTACAACTGGTTTAGTCCTCGACTTACGACCGGTTGGGGTCACGGCATTAAAAAGGTTGAGAACCACTGGTCCAGAAAGATCCTCGACTCCATATGTAGTGAAAGGAATACAGGTAACCCATCAACTTACCACCGTTCGTTTAGCGACCATTTGAAGTTTAAATAGCGGCACTGAGAAATGCGACTTACTTTTTCACACTTAATAACCGTTGCAGCGTCCCCCTGGTCAGGCGATCAAAATTCAGACGCTTGGCGACTGATTCGTATTTATGACGCGTTTGCAGCGTCCCCGGGGGGGGTCACGCGAGATCCCCTTCCGACAAGCAAAGTCAATGGGGGAAGCCGGTTTCGCTTAACAACGGCGTTACTAATTGAACAAGTGCAGTGATTCACTTAATGGCTTCCCGCCGGGGGAGGTTGGGTCGTCTGCCGGAGCCCGACCACGTTCGGAGAACCGAGGACTCCGCTGTGCGGCCTCAGCAACCGTTTCTGTCTCCTCTGGGGATTCGGTGTCTGTCGGTTTCCTTTGCAGCGAGGATGAAAAAACGGCTCGGATCAAAAGAGTTGAGGGAAAGATGAATTTGCAGCCCAGATGCCCCCAAATCAGTGGGTACTTTGAAGTGGGAGAGGTTCAGGCCCATCCCTGTCCCTGCAACAGCCATCAAGGATTGTAACTTTTTATGTGTCGCTTCTGTTTGTGGTGATGCCAGTCATGAGGACTAGTAGATTCCTGTAAAAAAAATAATTGCAAATCATCATCCTTGTGTAACAGTCCAGGGCTCTAAAGAGCAAGCTTGGCTTCCTTCCTTCCATGTCATTTTCCTTCCTTCTTTTCTTTCTTTCCTTCCTTCCTTTTTTCCTTCCTTCCTTTTTTGCTTCTTTCCTTCCTAACGTCTGTGTCATTTTTCTTCTTTCGTTCCTTTTCCTTCCTTCCTTCCTTCCTTGCTTCCTTCTTTCTTTCTTTCCTTCCTTCCTTCCTTCCTTCCTTCCTTCTTTCCTTCCTAACTACTGTCATTTTTCTTTCTTTCCTTCCTTTCTTTTTTCCTCCCTTCCTCCCTCCCTCCCTTCTTCCTTGCTTCCTTCTTTCCTTCCTTCTTCCCTTTCCTTTCCCTTTTTCCTTCCTTTTTTCCTCCCTCCCTCCCTTTCTTCCTTCTTTCCTTCTTCCCTTCCTAACTTCGTCATTTTTCTTTTTTTGTTCCTTTCCCTTCCTTCTTCCCTTCTTTCTTCCCTTCCTTTTTTCCTTTTTTCCTTCCTTCTTTCCTTCCTAACTATTGTGTCATTTTTCTTCTTTTCTTCCTTTTCCTTCCTTCTTCCCTTCTTTCTTCCCTTCCTTTTTTCCTTTTTTCCTTCCTTCTTTCCTTCCTAACTACTGTGTCATTTTTCTTTTGTTCCTTTTCCTTCCTTCCTTCCCCCCTTCTTCCCTTCCTAACTTCTGTGTCATTTTTCTTCCTTTTCCTTCCTTCCTTCTTTCCTTCCTTCCTTCCCAGTTAGGGAATTGTCTCCACACAGAAGCTGGTGTGATGGTTCGTTCTCAAATGGCGCTGGGAACGGAAGCGTTCTGCAAATATTGATCATCCCAAATGTGGAATCGATCCAGATTCCCTGCCATCTGCCTTTGGCTTCCATTTTCCCTCCAACCATCAGTCCGTCAGCCGGTTAATCATTCACCCTAGTAGTTGAAGTAAAAAAAAAAAAGAAAAAAATCCCGCAGAAGTTAAACTTGCCCTCAAATGAAGCGGATTTGCATGCGTCCCAATGTCGCTTTGCGTTCCCGCTTGATCCTTCCGCCCTGAGAGAAAAGCCACTCCGGGGAAAACCACAAGTTAAGTTTTGTACTGTTAGGAAATTAGTGAAAGAGAACCAGATGAACATCTACATTTTTGCCATGACAGTTGCTCTGGTTTCAGGGCTGAGGAATGCTACTACCAGGACGGTAAGTGTGTGTATCTCTGCTTGCTTTGAACGTTTTCCTAAAAACATGGGCTGAATCTGGAGTCAGGAAAGAGAGAGACTTAATGAAGATATCGGGAACAGAAAGACGGGTCCCAAGAAACGGTCCCCGTGGCTAAAAGCTTGTCCTTTTTACAGAGACCCAGATCTTTCTAACAGGAGCAGATAGAGAAAGTCCTCGACTTACAACAGTCCGTTTAGTGACCGTTCGAAGTTACAACGGCACTGGAAAAAGTGACTTATGACTGCTTTTCACACTTAAGTCTTGTGCCATCCCCGTGGACACGTGATCAAAATTCAGATGCTTGGCAACTGACTCCTATTTATGATGGTTGCCGTGTCCCAGGAATACGGGATCCCCTTTTGTGACCTGACAAGCAAAGTCAAGGGGGGGGAAGCCAGGTTCGTTTAACGACCGTGTTACTCGCTTAACCTCTGCTGAGATTGACTCAACAACTGTGGCAAGAAAAGCTGTAAAACGGGGGGCAAAACTCACTTAGCACACGTCTCACTTAGCAATAGAAATTTTGAATTCCATTGTGGTCATAACTGGAGGACTACCTGTATTATAACTGGAAATGGGGCGTGTGGTACATAGCCCTTTGCACGTTAGGAAGGATTGGATGAAGCAGGTAGCTTGTGTTTATGAAGCTGGTCTAGAATAGAACAGATTGTAGAATAGAATAGAATAGAATAGGGAATAGAATAGGGAATAGAATAGAATAGAATAGAATAGAATAGAATAGAATAGGGAATAGAATAGGGAATAGAATAGAATAGAATAGAATAGAATAGAATAGGGAATAGAATAGAATAGAATAGAATAGAATAGGGAATAGAATAGGGAATAGAATAGAATAGAATAGAATAGGGAATAGAATAGGGAATAGAATAGAATAGAATATGATGAGAATAGAATAGAATAGAATAGAATAGAATAGAACAGAATGGAATGGAATGGAATGGAATGGAATGGCATAGAATAGAATAGGGAATAGAATAGAATAGAATAGAATAGAATAGGGAATAGAATAGAATAGAATAGAATAGAATAGAACGGAACAGAACAGAATCAGAATCAGAACAGAATCATAATAGAATAGAATCATAATAGAATCATATTAGAACAAAATCATAATAGAATAGAATCAGAACAGAATCAGAATCAGAATAGAATAGAAGAGAATCAGAATAGAATAGAAAGAATAGAACAGAACAGAATAGAATAATCATAATAGAACAGAATCATAATAGAACAGAATCATATTAGAATAGAATAGAGTAGAGTAGAGTAGAGTAGAGTAGAGTAGAGTAGAGTAGAGTAGAGTAGAGTAGAGTAGAGTAGAGTAGAGTAGAGTAGAGTAGAGTAGAAATGAGGACCCGGATTGTTGGGGGGCAACAGGCTGACTCTGTAAACCGCTTAGAGAGGGCTGTAAAGCAGTATGAAGCGGTATATAAGTCTTAAGTACTGGTGCTATTGCCTTCACTGAAATGCCTTATTTCAACCCTTTGTGCAGGAAGTCCTCGACGTATGACCCCAAATTTCTGTTGTTAAATGAGACAATTGTTAAGTGAGTTTTGCCAGAAGGTCGCAAAAGAGGATCACATGACCCCGGGACTGTGTCCCATGGTCATACGATCCCCTTTTGTCACAAATAAAGTCAATGGGGAAGACAGGTTCACTTACCAACCGGGTTACAAACTTATCAACTGCAACGATTCAACAACTGTGGCAAGGGAAAGTCATAAATTGGGACAAAACTCACTTAAGAAATGTCTCCCTTAACCATTGTGGCCATTAAGTCGAGGACTACCTGTATTTTGCCGACCCTTCTCAATTTCAGAGAGAGCAAGAGAGAGAGAGAGAGAGAGAGAGAGAGAGAGAGAGAGAGAGAGAGAGAGAGAGGATCCGTTTACTAAAAAAAAAAGTCAACTACTCACACAATTTACTTGGACCAATTGCATCATCAAAATAAATTTACATTGCTATTATTCATAGGGGGAAATAAAAGCGGGCATTACGACCACAGCCGAACCTGAGGAGGAAGTCTATCCATACCCAGGTACAAAAAATATTTTAATATGTAAGAAAAGCAAACTCAGCCTTTCTTTTTAGCTTGTGCATTCTGGCAGAGGACTCTAAAATCCAACCTCTCCTTTAGGACACAGCAAACCAGCAAATTGAAAAACCTGGACTGTGCTTTCACTTTCGCTTTCCTTTCACTTTCCTTCCCTCTTCCCCTGCACCTTTCACTTTTGCTTTCACTTTCCTTCCCTCTTCCCTCCCTTCCATTCACTTTCACAGCTTTTGCTTTTGCCCTCGCCCTCACCCTTATCCTTGCCTCTTTTGCTTTTGGTTTCGGTTTCACTTGCTTTTGCTTTTGCTTTCAGTTTTGCTTTTGGTTTCATTTGCTTTTGCTTTCAGTTTCACTTGCTTTTTCTTTTTCTTTTCCTCCTTCTTATTACCTTTCTTTATTCTTCTTTAATTCAAAATTTGTACTGTTTTTAATTGTCAACAAACTTCTCCAGTAAAAAATTATTTTAAAAAAGAAAGAAGCAAGTTAGAATTGTCACGGCAAGCACACCGCTGAAAAGAAAATGGTCAAGAGACCAATAGACAGCCAAGACAATTCAGTGAATAATCATCCTGGAGGAGGTCTGTCTACCGGGCCTCAAAGGTCCGATCCTGACTTGGTGGCACATAACAATCCCCTTTCTTTTGTGCCGTTCATTAATACACAGAACCAATCCGCTGTTGCTTTTCTTGATTTACTCTTTGACTGCTTTCCTCCGCAGATGTTTCCAATGACTGCACACGTAACCCTTGTGGAAATGGGGGCACATGTTTCAGGGAATGCGACCGGTGTCCTCAACGCTGCGTCTGTCCTGCAGAATTCACGGGGAAACAGTGTGAAGTTGGTAAGCTGAGCATCAAAAGTGGTTTTTTTTTATTTTGAAAAGGAAACTGGACTGATTTTTTGTTTTGTTTTTTGAGAACGTTTCGCTTCCTATCCTGGAAGCTTCCTCAGTTGTATTGGATGCTGTGGAAGATGGACGTTCATGGATATTTGGTTAGCTGGGATTCTCCACTGGGCCTACGGCAATTCGTCGCAGCCAACTCACCACGGCCCACTTGCCACAGCCAACTAAACTGCTGGACAAGAGTTAATAGAAAGAAAGGATGAAAAAAAGAGAATGAAATATGAATGACAAAAATTAAAATAAACTTTTATTTATTTTAAATAATTCAGTTGAATTGTTAAATTGTCCAGTGGTGAATTGTTCCATGGCGGGTTGGCCACAGACGTTTACCCCATTCTGTCTCCACCATTATCCAGCCGTTCTGAAGGGCTCCTGACCAGCCCTGGCATCAGGGAAACTGAGGCAGCTTCCCCATAACTGTCCTAGATGGGTCAGCTGGTCCTCCCTTGGAAGACAAGGGCTCTTTCCCCCCCTGTTGCGTTCGGATGTGCTCAGCAACGCTCTTATTTCTTACAAGTGACCAAGAGTAAACCTGGTGCACGGCTGAAGTCCGGGGATTTTGTTGAAGGACCGAAGGATTGATTTGACAGCTCTGATGACAGAAACAGTGGTCCAGGCTAAGGGCTTCTATGCTTTCCTTCATTACAGCAAAATGCTTTGATGAAACTCTGTACGAATACTTTGAAACTGGAGAACGTTGGGCCAGAATCTACGAAGGGACAGTACACGCGTGCACGTGTGTTAACAGCACGACCAACTGCCAGCCGGAAATGTTTACAGGTATTGTGGAGAAATGTTCATTAGAGCCCTCCTTTGGATGCATTGCAAAGGGATCAGTCAATCAGAATAGAGCTGGTTGGGACCTCAGAGGTCTTCTAGTCCAGCCCCCTGCTCAAGCAGAAGCACCCATACCATTTCAGACAAGTGGCTGTCCAGTCTCTTCTTAGTGATGGAGCACCTACAACTTCTGGAGGCAAGGAGTTCCACTGGTTAATTGTCCTCACTGTCAGGAAGTTTCTCCTTAGTTCTAGGTTGCTTCTCTCCTTGATTAGTTTCCATCCATTGTTTCAGGTGCTTTGGAGAATAAGTTGACTCACCTCTTCTTTATGGCAGCCCCTCAAATACTGGAAGACTGCTATCATGTCCCCCCTAGTCCTTCTTTTCTGTAGACTGGACATTCCCAAATCCTGCAACCTTTGTTCTTCTTATGTTTTAGTCTCCAGGCCTTTAATCATCTTACTTGATCTTCTGAGTGAGTAACTCTTCTATGGTGAATAATCCTTTCAGGAGGCAGTGAGTCAAGCAGAAGAGGGCTGAGATAAAAAGGGTTAAATGACTGGCCAGCAACAGAAAGAAAGAAAGAAAGAGAGAGAGAGAGAGAGAGAGAGAGAGAGAGAGAGAGAGAGAGAGAGAGAGAGAAAGAGGAAGGAAGGAAGGAAGGAAAGAAAGAAGGAAGGAGAAAGGATGGATGGATGGAGGGAGGGAGGAAAGGAAAGAAGGAAGGAAGGAAGGAAGGAAGGAAGGAAGGAAGAAAAGAAGAAAGAAAGAAAGAAAGAAAGAAAGAAAGAAAGAAAGAAAGAAAGAAAGAAAGAAAGAAAGAAAGAAAGAAAGAAAGAAATTCAACCACATTGGAATTAAACTTGATCTCTCAGGGGAAGTCCAGAATACTGCCAAATGAGGATTTTTTTTTTTAACTTTGCAATGTTTAATCTTGCTCAGTCAGCAGTTTTGAACA